CCTTTTGGCGAAGTCTTCCCACTTTCGAACAGAGAGAAGCGTATCCCGCTCGTAAGATTTAGATATGATAGAGAAGATTTGTAGCTCAGGTGGATGATTTTGATGTGGTTTTGTTCTCTGAGCTGGATGGTTAGTTTGCGAAGCTTTCATCACCTTACTGGGTGACATCTTCAGCGCATACTTCAATTTGAAGTGAGCTTTTAGATTTCTCCACGAGTTTATTAATCATCTCTCCTGGTGACCTTGGACGTGATTGGTTGTTTGTGTGTGTTTTCACACCTTCTAGGTTACTTGTATTGGAACCGGTTGTTTCTTTGACTTGAACTTTGACCCTTTGTGTGTGAAGTTTCTTTCTTATTGGTTGATAAATTTTGTCTATCTCGATGTGTCTATTGATTGATGATCCACTGGAATGCCAAGCTTCTAAAAATTCTCTAGCATTCTTGTTATTTCCTTTGTCTAATATTTGAACGTTGTCCCAGTCGAATTGATGTCCGTAGTTGTCTGTGTGTAGTGAAATGAGGGAGTGGATATCATGTCTTTTGACGGCTAGCTTATGTTCGTGGATACGAAGACGAAGGGGACGTCCACTTTGGCCGATGTAGTGTTTTTCGCAGTTGTTACAGTTTATTTTGTAGATGATGTTGGTTTTGTCTTCTTTCGCTGTTGAGTCTTTTGGTTGACATAGAATTGAGTGCAGCGACTTTGTTGGTTTGTGTACGACGTCAATTCCTAAAGGTTTGAAGAGTCTTGTAGTGATTTCTGAGATATCTTTTATATATGGTAAGGCAATTTTCTTTGTGCTTTCCTTGGTGGCTTTTGCTTTGGTAGGTTGGCTTGGGGGTATATGTCTCTTGATGAAATTCCGTGGATATCCATTCTTTTGGAAGACGTCCATGAGATACTTTTCTTCAATTTTTCTTAAGGTGGGAGTGCTGCAGTGAGTCCTTGCTCTCTTGAATAGTGTTTGTATGCAATTCCTTTTGTGTGTTATTGGGTTGTTGCTGTTGTAATTCAGTATTTGGTCTGTGTGAGTTGATTTCCTATAAACTTGAGTTTCTAATTCTCCTGTAGTTGTTCGCCTGACTAAGACGTCCAAAAGTGGTATTTAGAAGCTTGGCATTCCAGTGGATCATCAATCAATGGACACATCGAGATAGACAAAATTTATCAACCAATAAGAAAGAAACTTCACACACAAAGGGTCAAAGTTCAAGTCAAAGAAACAACCGGTTCCAATACAAGTAACCTAGAAGGTGTGAAAACACACACAAACAACCAATCACGCCCAAGGTCACCAGGAGAGATGATTAATAAACTCGTGGAGAAATCTAAAAGCTCACTTCAAATTGAAGTATGCGCTGAAGATGTCATCCAGTAAGGTGATGAAAGCTTCGCAAACTAACCATCCAGCTCAGAGAACAATACCAGATCAAAGTTCAAATAGCTATTGAAGTGAATTTTTGATTTTCCGTCGATTGATTGGATCAAAGTGTTCGGTCTCAGGTTGACATGTCGGCTTCTTGTGCAGATGCTTCGACGATGTCTGGGTGTTTAATTAGTATACAATTGGTGGATGGTGGCTAGCAATTCAATAATTAATATGACCCGTTGCACAAGAGGTGGCTTTCGTGGCCCAAGTGGTCTAGTGGATAACGCTTTGGCGTTTAAAACTATGGGTACTGGGTTCGAGCCTCGGTGGGAACATCATCACTCACTGAGAAATGCAGGTAGATCCAGCTGACGAGTCCCAAATAGGACGAAATGTGCATCCTGGATTCCACTGCTAGCCACCATCCACCAATTGTATACTAAGTTCAAATAGCATTCATCAACTATAATCAGGAATGGAAGAAAGAAGTAAATTGCACAACGTTCGCCATTGCTGACTGCGATTCTTCGCCATATACAATAACCTTTCGAGCTATCTCCCGAACTCCAACCAGGAAGTCATGACGCACCAACCGATACTAAACTAACACATGAATTTCCTTCATCCCACGACACCACGTCATGGACTGACCACCTCCCCTCCTTTTTCATCCCATCCCAGGGCTGGCTAGCGAACAAAGATCTGCACAGAAGCCTCTGTAATGACATCCGTAGCACATTTCCAAGCCAACGAAGCCGGTGTTTCCAGATGACGACACTCTTATACACGCCGCTGAATCTAAGAATTACTCACGCGATGATACCATCGAGTGCAAGCAATCCTGCGGAGACATCAATGATCGAATATGCAGAGTCGCCGCACACCCTCAACACGGAGAGACCAGGTTTCACAGGCGTCGAGCGACACAACCCACACCGAAGAATTGTATATCCGACCTTTGACAGCCAGGCTAACGTCGTGACAGCGACAGAGGTGGCTCAAGAGCTGATGTATGCCGCCACCCTAACCTTGATGATACGGTTGGAAATCTCATCTGTCACCACCCCTCCGCCAGTATTTACACAACTACCCAGATACACAAACTTATCAACAACTTCAAGCGGTTCGCTTGCAAGAGTGAGTGAGTGTAGGTACAGGCTCCTGACAATCTCGGTTTCTAATGATATCTAACTGATGCTGGCTGGCCTTTGATGAAATCTGACAGCTGAAATACCGTCTTTATAACTTTGTGGACACATTGCAAATTTATATAAATCTTTGAGATGCTCTGGATTTAGAACGCCTACTGCAACATGGTGGATTCAGGAAAGGCGAATCATTTGCTGATCAAATTGTAACACTACACATTGTCATCATAGAATGCAAGTCAAATGTCACTCAACTTCAGTTTGATCGACTTCGAAAAAGCCTCCACCAGACAGCGTTGACCAAGACGTAAAATTCGGAAACTACTTCAAGACTACGGCGGCGTACAGTGCCCGATTCTTCATTAACCTCATTCAACAACTGGTTATATGAGAATGACAAGTGACAGGTGGTCGACAACGGAAAACTCAGAAAGGCGTTAGAAGTGAATACAGGAATAAGACAAGGCTGGCTGGCTGACTGCCTATTATCAGCGATGATATTCTTAATCGTCATCATCATCACCTTACAAAGTACCGGTTATGCAATACAACTAGTTGTTAACCTGTACAAAACCGATAATTCCTATGGACTAATACATTACTAATGCAGCCTCCAAAGCCTCAGGATGGTCGGGGGTGGTGCCTTGCACTGCGGGTTGGCTACCCCTCCGTACACCTCTTGAAATGCTCCCATATGACCGGGCGTCTTACATAGCCTCTCCTGAGGAAGTCCTACTTACTGCCTTCACGTGGCGGAGGTGTTTTTCACCGAAGTGAGAGGGTAAAAGCGGATGCCTGGCGCTCTTCACCGGGTTGACTGTCCATTGGATGACAGTCTAGGGGAGATGGCTAAACCCTAATTCCAAACCTCCAACGAATGGCGTATGAAGCTCACTGGCAGACGTATGGACAAAGGGCTTATTGGATGCCCTGGATGTCTGGCCCCATTCAAAAAGGCGTATGAACCGGACTCCGGTCACCAGCTGCCAATGGATAGTGGACTCCCTACTCCACTCCTACTGCCTTGTAGGTCACACTTGGTTGCGTAAAGGCTAGAGCTGCACTCCCAAACAAAAGGCCGGGCGATGCTGGGGACATCACTCGTACCTAATTCCCATGAAACTTCATGAACTCTCTACAACATCAACCAAATTCCAGTACTGGTCCAACAACGTCGCCTTCGGTGGTTTGGCCATGTTCTTCGCCGACCAGATGACGATCTGGTCAAATCAGTTCTAAATCCCTCGCCATTTCCATCTTGGCGATGTCGCAGGGTGGACAGCTGAAAACATGGCTTGGTACAGTCAAGGCTGATATGGAGTGGCCTGGGGCTACAAACCGTCTATGGACTCCGTCTGTGGAACAAGAATTGGATAACCCTGTCGCAAAACCTTGCATCAGATCGCTGCTCCTGGGCAGCGAGGATTCGAGATGTTCATGAAGCCGGCTCATCTTCCCGTAGGAGATAGCTGAAGTAAAGTAAGTAGTAATACATTACTACACAACTGGTATAATTTCGATGCAAAAGCATTTTACTAAGTGTAGATCCATTGATGAGGAACTCATAGAGAAGGGGGTATATCTCTTCGTCCAACTCATTGGAGGACTTATTCCCACTGACAAAGAAAAGTATGGGACTCTACAGCACCCGTCCCAGGAGCTTCCGGTTGCCAGGCCAGCCCACGAATTCCGTACATATATTTATTTAGAGCAACTGCCAGTCAGTGTGTCACAGACCAGTAACTGTCTCCTTGCTTGGTTTGAACCATTGGAGAACCAACCAAGAGGACAGACAATCGCCGATGATAATAGTTAATAGTTGAGCTAAATAAATATATACATCACGAATTGACACAAGTTGGAATTTGTCGGCTGGTCGTTGCATCGAGTCCCAACGGTTGAATATTCTACCAGGTCACCTCGTAACCAGAAGGTCATGGATTCAAACCCCTATAGTCGATGCATACTGTTGCCAAAGGGTCCCAAACCAGGAGGACGAAACAGCTGTCTAATACTCTCTAACTGGTTTTCAATCCTTCGCCAACCGATATCATCTCATGATGAAATCCTGTAATGAAAAGTATGTAAAGTGTGTATGTACGTAACCCCCTTCCACCCTCCAACTGCCTTACCTAACCTCAATATTACTCACCCTATGGCAACACAGCCATAATAAAGAACGACAAAGAAAACTCACATAGTACATATGTCCGTTGATCTACAGTCGGATGCCAGGTCTACTCAAGAGGGATGACGTAATAGTTGAAAAATGCCAATACGCTTATCAACCACGTTACTCCCTATCTTTAAACTAGAAGTCGGTCCACACCAGTCCCGCCTATTACTACTCCTCAATAACACAAACTCTTCGCTAAACACCGTCAGTAAACATAAATGCGGCCGTACAACTTTTGAAGATGTCTGCGTCATAATCGAGAAAGAAGATTCATTAGTCAGAGAGAGAGAGAATGCACAATAGGTGACTGATGACTAAATGTATATTTATTTATTTAGAAAAACAAACAAACAGACAAACAATTCTCATGAAGTTTTGTTGTAGGGGCTGTTGTGAAGGGTAGTGGAGATTGCAAACATGGAAAATAAGATCAAATGAAATCTGTTCAAGTGTTGTCTGCCTGCCTGCTTTATATTTAGCCTTCTCCCATCCTGTGTCTACACACACACACACACTCAACTAAGCAGCCACATCAATCAATTCTTGTGGTAATGGACTTTTAGGATGTTTATTTTCAAAGTGTTGCTTGTACGTCTTCAAGTCGGGCACTTGAGTTTTACACACAGGACATGTGTGATTCAATGCTTTAGCAGCTGCTTTCTTTTGATCAATACTAGACTTTTTCATTTCTGCTTGCTTCTTAGCATTTTTCTGTTGACTTTGTATTTTTTGTTGACCACGTGCCATGATGATAAAATATACGACGACTATTGAAGGTTTTAAAAAGAAAAGAAAAGGGGGTGGAGTGAGAATTTAAAAATATAACTGATATGATGTGTGCAAAATATGAATATAAATGAATATATATATATATATATATATATATATATATATATATATATATATATATATATATATATATTATATATATATATTCAATTGTATTTCAGATTTTCCCGCAGATTGATTGGACTGAAGTCTCAGGTTGTGCAGATGCTTCGATGATGTCTAGGCACATGAAATTGGAATTTTAATTGGTGGATGGTAACTAGCAGTAGTGGAGGTGGCTCTCGTGGCCCAATTGGTCTAATGGATAACCCTTTGGCGATGGGCATTGAGTTCGAGCCTCGATGGGAACATCATCACTCACTGGGAAGTGCAGGTACATCCAGCTGGGAGACGAGTCCCAACTAGGACCATCCACCAATTAAAATAAACGATAATATATATACTGAATAAAAATATAATGGAGAAAATTTGCAGCTCAGGTGGATGATTGCGGCTTGGCTTCTCTGAGCTGAATGGTTGGTTTACTTGCAAAGCTTCTATTGTCTGACTAGACAACATTCTCAGTGCACACTTAAATTTGAAGTAATCTTATAAAATTCTCCACGGGTTTATCAGTCATCTCTTGTGATAACGCTGAATGTGGGTGTTAGTTGCTTTTGTGTATTAGAAACTCAAGTATACAGAAAATCAACTCATACACATAAAATACTCAATTAAAACGGTATCCACTCAAATAATTTGTACACAAAAAGAGTTGCACACAAACATTATGCAACGAAAGTTGAAATACTAAATGCGATCAAGCTACTGAAGTCGCGAAAGACAGCAGGCCCAGACGGAACTCCCTCCCTCTCGAATCACTGAAAACGGACCTAGAGGCTGCCGCAGATGTGTTCACGCCATTACCGCAAAAGGTTTGGAAAGAAGGAAAGGTACCTACTGATTGGAAGAAAGGCTAACTCGTCAAGCTGCCAAAGAAAGGCGAGCGAGTTAGGCCTGTGCAAGAACTGGCGTGGAATCATGCTCTTATCCATGCCAAGTGAAATACTAAGTCGCATCATCCTGGAGAGAAAAAAGGATGCACTGGATACAGAACTCCCCCAGTCACACCGGAACAAGCTGGATTCAGGAAAGGCGAATCATTTGCTGATCAAATTGTAACACTACACATTGCCATCGTAGAACAAAGCACAGGATGAAAGTCAAATCTCACTCCACCCCAATTTGATCGATATTGAAAAGGCCTTTACCAGACAGCGTTAACCGAGACGTAATTCGGAAACTACGGCGTACAGTCCCCGAATCCTTATCAACCTCATTCAACAACTGGCTATATGAGAATGACAAGTGACAGGTGATCCACAACAGGAAACTCAGAGAGGCGTTAGAAGTGAATAAAGGAGTAAGACAAGACTGGTTGGCTAGCTGACTGCCTATTATCAACGATGATATTCTTAACTGTGGTGGACTGGATTGTGTATCAGATTGTGGGAAGCGAGAAGACAAGAATACGCTGGACCACTGATGAGAAGACTCTAGAAGATTTGGATTTCGCGCATGGATGATTTATGTTTAATGTCACACACACACTCGAAGATTTCAGGCGAAAACCAACAACTTGGCAGAAGAAGCAGTGGGGATCGAACTTCGAGTGAACATCAGAGAAGGCTCAGGTGATGAAGATAACCAACCATCACCAACAGCAACGACAACAACAACTAGCACCAACCACCATCAACGGGAGAGATTTAACAGAGGTTACCTCCTTCACTTATCTAGGAAGCACAGTGTCAACTACGGTCTGTCGGAACGGATGAAGATGTCAACGCGTCAGAATACGAAAGGCAAGATACGCCTTCACCAACCTGAAACCAGTTTGGAAATCTTCTACACTCAGCATAAAGAACAAGATTCACATTTCCAACACTAACATCAAGTCAGCCCTTCTGTACAGGTCAAAAACTTGGCGTGTAACGAAAAAGATTTCCAAGAGGTTGCAGACTTTCATCAACAGCTGGTGATCAAATGGGCAGAAAGAATTAGTAACAGAAACTAAATGAAAAAAACCTATCAAGACGATTGCTCAACAATCTTGTAAAGGAAAATGTAGATGTATCGGGCATACACTGAGGAGGCCGTCGAGTGGAATCCAAACAGCGAGCGATGAGTGGGTCGCCGGTACGAAGGTGACATGGAGGAGGTGGTGTGAGGAAGAGATAAGCGTTTGGGCAATCGTAGACCCAGCTGAAGAGGATAGCAGAAAATAGAAGAAAGTGGAGATGTGTTGTTGAAGCCGCATATGTTCCACTCGGAACCTAAGGGAACAACAAAGTAAATAAATAATCAAGAGTTAGGAGTCTTTGCAGCACTCCTGCCTTGAGGTAAATAGACAAGGAATATCTTATGGTCTTTTTCCAGAGAGAAATGGATATCCACGAAACTTCGTCAAAGGTATCTACTCTTAACTCAACAAACCTAATCAGAAATTTCCAACGAAAGCATAAAGTTTTCCTACCATGTATATATATAAGAAATATCTTCGAAATCATCGCAAAACCGTTCAAACCTTTCGGTATTTATATCGAACATTTCAACAGGGAAAGAAGTGAAAACCAACATCATCTTTAAAAGAAGTTCCAAAGACTGTGAAAAAACATGACACTGGTAAAAGTTGACGTTCTCTTTGTCTTCAACATCCATGAACATAAACTGGTTATTCGAAGACCCATTATAAATCCTCTTATATCGCTGCATACAGGTAACCACGCAATGTTCAACTTTTAAATAGAGGAAACATCAAAAACGCCAGAGAATTTCTAGAAGCCTGCCATTCAAATGAATCGGTAATCAACAGACACATTGATATAAATAAATTTACCAGTCCATAAGAGGGAAATCATGTGAACAAAAGGTTAAACTTCAGATCAGGGAAACAATCAATACCAATGCAAACTGACTAGATGGTGTAAAAACAACATAAAAACAACCAATCACGTCCAGGGTCACCCACCAGGTCAGATGGCTAATAAACTCTTTGAGAAATCTAAACGCTCACTTCAAATAAAAGTATGCACTGGGGATGTTGCCTAGTAAGGCAATGAAGACTTCACAAGTGAACTGTTCACCTCAAAGAACACAAATACACCAAAATAAATTAATAAACATAGTGTAAAATATCACTGGGATATTAGAAACAATCCCTTTGCATTCCAAGTGGAACATAGGACTTCAAGGACTTCAGCTCTGAAGTTTTATAAGAGGCGTCGGTGTTGTTTTTAGAAGGTGAATTCGCTAGTCTCATTTATTATTTTTTTTATTAAAACACATAAAACTGGTACATTATGAGCACCAAAAGATGAGCTACACGAAATTATCTCAGTGTGTGCGAAAGCTAGGACAGAAAAAACAGTTGGTTGTTGTAAAGTGCTAGACCATACCACCTCCAAGTCTTTTACTTGAAGTCTGATCAACAAGACGGTGGACCGTTGTCAGTTCGTACGTTCCGATAGTTTCTGGAGACTAAAACAGGTTCATATACCCTTGGATCCTTCCGGAATTTGTTTTCCAGCCCCATCAGATAGACTTCCATGTTCATTAGCACAGTTGTAAGCACCGGGCGTTTATATTGGCCATCTCACCTTTGTGATGAACACACCTTGAATTTACCTGTCAGAGGCTATGAACACGTGTCCACATGTGAGCATTTCAACAGGAAGTCCGGAGGCAATCTACCTTCAGCCATAATAGGTCGTTTATGGGGGAGGGGCTACTACTACTATTGGCCATTAAGCAAGGCAAGATGTCTGCCAAAAACATCGACTGGGAATAGAACTTGGATAGCCTTAATAGACGGTGAGTATTCAGCCATTAAACCACCAACGCACAAGCAAAGATTTGGAGGTGGCCCCTTAAAACAGTTACTTGCTTCGATATGGGTATCCCGGCGGCATCTCAGCTTTCGTATAAACGCTGAGATTTCGCACGGCGTACCGCTTAATGCTCTTAGTGTAACAGGTTTGCGTTTTAATAATTATAATACGATGAAAGTGAAGTAGGAAAAGTGTGACGTTACGATTAAGGTCCAAGTGGTGCAGAAATACATGTGTCCTACTGTAATCGATTCCACATACCACCATATCCGACTGACTGGCTGACTAATTAATCCACGTGAGTTTTTTCAAGGAAGTGAACATATAAATGAAGAGAATAGAATTGTAGTGATATTACAATGAATATATATTGATGTGAAGCAGAGGACGTCCTCTGCTTCTACTACTGACAAGGGATATTCGGAATCTGGAAAATTGTATAGATTTATGCCAAATAGGATAATTTCGAGTTGTTACTAAGAGTTCCTAAACCAGTGAGTTTAAGTAATACCAATTCTTCTAAACATGGAAACTTACACTCCGCTATATGAACACAACAGTTCATCCATTTGTATCATACTTCATTTGATCCCTCTAAACTCTTCTCCAACGAAGTGATCGTTGATTTCACATGGTCCAAGCCATCTGAATCGATGAAGCCCAATAATAACCTCACCAACTGACTTGCATTACCTAATACTACGTTTACTTTCAGTCTTATGTCGTATACAGTTCTAAGTGACGTCAGAGACTGAAAATCTATAGTCTTCGTATGTTTCCTAACTTCAGTAGTCGTGTTTCACAAAGCAAAACGCTATGCTCTTCAGTGAGTAGATATCTCGAAGGGAACAAAAATGAAGCTGGTTGAGAAACGTCGGCAACTAGTTCCACAAAGCTGATTCAAACTCTTAAACAATTGAAGTGAATTAACACATAACAAACAACTCTGTTCCTCACTTACAAACTAGTTTCACTGGCCCTCAGATAGTAAGTGCGGCTGATAAAGTAAAACATGGAAAATTTATTGTAGGTAATTGTTTGCTAATAAGCATTTTTACTCGGCATGTTATTTCAAGTTTCTAACCATGATTTTTTGTGGTTTCTCGTATACCAGCCAAGGAACTCAGTGCTTGCACTGAGTTCCATATTAATTAATATGGGATGAGAGGGCTGGAACAACGTCAGTAAGCGAACCCAGTAGGTTCCTATTGACTCCTAAAAATGCCTAGAAAAAGAACAGGCTGCTAAACTAGTGCCAGTTATGCTGGAGACCAGAGCTGAGTTCTAGTCTGTGTGCTTAATCAAACCATTTCAGGAGAGTTTCAGAATTTACTCACTACAGAATGTTGGGGTTAGATCAAAATTAGCAGGATTTTATTCAACATTATCCCAGCTAGCATTTTTTTCGGGCGCATTGCAGACTTTTTGGGGCAAAAACTTCGGGTAGATCTACTTACGTGGGACAGTGTCCCGAAGTCTGCCCCAAAAAGTCTGCAATGCACCCTAAATCTTCATCGGAATTTGCAACGTGCCCAAATTCTGCCCCAAAAAGTCTGCAATTTGCCCTAAGTCTGTCCCTAAAAGTCTGCAATTTGCCCAAGTCTGCCCAAAAGTCTGCAATGCGCCCGAACAAAATGTTAGCTGGGATAGTAAGCGCTGTAAGCAGACATTTGCTCACTAAGTCGAAGTAGGTTAAAAATCACTAATCAGCAGTTGATTTCTATGTTTTGAGGCTTAACTCTGTGACAGTTTTGTTCACTACTGATAAGAAGTCAGACTTTAAATACTAATTAACCTATCAACTTCTGTCAATCGGGTAACCAATTTCCTACACACATGTTAAAAATCGTTTGAAAAATGTCAAAAGAATGGGATCAACACCCAGAGTTTATGCGACAAACATACATTTAAATATAAAACTAACGGCTAAGGAAGTGCAACAAGTTAAATATAAACAAAACCTACAATTAACCTTCAAAACAACCGCCCTGTAAAAAGCACATTCATTGTCAACACTGACATTCAGATTTTTGATTGGAGAAATAAGGCTTTCAAACTACTTTGTTCTTATTTGTAAAGCATTTCTGCCTGTCTACTTCCTTCCCTAAATGAGTCTAGAGAGAGAGAGGAATACGTAACCTACATCGACATAGCTCTTCTTCAGTTGTGGAACACTCTTGTTATGTCTTGTGATATTTCTCAACCAGCTGAAAGGGAAGAAAATATATCAGGCCTACACTAGTTTCATCAAATTCTGAACATTTCAAGGAGACCTCAGTCTATTATAATATTAAATTCAAACTGGAATCTCTCCTGGATGGCTAAATTTGCCATTCAAGGATATAAATGCGTGGCCTTCATTTGAACTCTTTTTTACAGGTTTTGCTCCCCTTAAGTAATAGGCTGGTTGTCTGGATGAAGATCTCGGGTTCTGATCTGATCAGATATGTATATAAAGTGGCATACATTTCAATGGTAGTTCTAGTAGAGGATATGAAGTGGGCTACATCTAGTAGGTCGTTACTCCCAGTGGCATTTAGACGAGTGTACGACTAGAATTAAGAATAATACATTCCTCTTATGTTACATGCACTGATTTATGAGTGTCAGCTTACACAACTGTGTGTTTATCTGAGCCCGTGGGAATCATCCATTCACTTGAACAACCTAGCAGATTTTGAAGTCTTCATGCAAAGTAAGAGCGTATTTTCAACTGTCTCCAAGTATTTAGGTCAACCGGAAAGAGAAGTTCAAGGGATTTATGAGACCAGATAATGCTAGATAAGTGGGAGGAGACAACGGCTACGTTGTCCAGCTGTTGTCCAAGAGTGCCATTTCGAATTAATCCTGACTGTATTCCCTCCAATAATAAATCGTGATATCAAAACACTCCAGTTTAATATTCAATCTAGTATGGAGCAGAGCTTACTACTGTAAATGGAAGCGAATTCAACAAGGTTTTAATCATCCGTAGGTCTCTTGTTATGAGTCCATTATGAGATTTTATTTTGATAAATCACACAGTATTGTACAGTAATATTAACTGATGACGTTTCGAGCACAGACTACTGCTCATAATCACATCATGAAGTTTTATCATATTATCATATGATTATGACCAATAGTTTGTGCTCGAAACGTTATCAGTTAATATTATTGTACAACACCGTGTGATTTATCAAAATAAAATCTTATCCATAATGGTATTATGCTCTACCACAGTGCCCAAGTTTTATACTCCTGTCATGAGATCTGACGGATAAAAGAAGTCTCCTGTAAACCACTTCGATTGGTGATTTGAATAATTATTTTGACGGAAAAATCGGCTTCTAGACTTTCTTTACAGAAATACACCCTGTGAAAGACCTGGGCAGTGTACTGTTCCCTCAGTAGTTGGAGAGACGTTAGAAGTAGTCTGGTCAACAGGTCGGAGTGAGGTGGGTGAATGAGTCAATAATTCGTGTGGCCCAAATGTAGATCCGGCGGAGCAGATCCCTGTGCGATTGCAACAAATCAATAGGAAAACAAACTCAAAAGGTAAATAGTCGCAATACTCCTATTAATTGTGTCGGATAGTAGTAGGTGTTATATGAAAAAGGGAAAACCTATTGATCAAATGAAAGTCAACCTTATTTCGGAATGCCCGCTAGAAATGTTAATAAATAGCCCCTAGGACCGGTGATGAGGCTGGCAGTAGCTTTGCTAAGTGTATATCAACTGCCACATATGCTGCTTCTCAAATATTTTGTGTCTCAGATTCCTGCAATTACTCCAAGCCCCTGAATGAAAGCAATTGTATTGATAGTGTTAAAAGCCGGCTGCATGATAAGAAATGCAGGGCAGGAGACAACACTGGAAAGTGACAACAGGGATTATCTACACAGCAGTCTCAGACACGTCCCTCTGGTCAACTACAATCTGAGGAACGATCCTCACAGCTGAAGACAGGTACCGAGAATATTCCGTAAGCAAAATGGAAGGCTTGATCCACGTGTCAAATATTCAAGAGACAGACCGACCATGCATCCCTGGAACTAAGAAATCGGTGGAACACAAGAAAGAGGAGTGAAAATGGGTTACTGCCAGCTGTCTTTGTCAAAAATTTCCTGCCGAACCCCAAAAGCCTGTACCGATTCATGTCGGAGGGAAAACAGCCAACAAGAGTGAATGCGCCTAAGCAGATCCCAATGGGCAATACTTCAGTACTGTGGAGATGGCTGAAACATTCAGTTCAGCCTCTGCCAAACAGTTAAACAGCAGTGCGAGTATTACCGGTGCGGATCAAAATGATAGCGATACTACTTCAACGGAGGAAATCGTAGTGGCTATCCCCCAAATAAACCCAGGGGCAGTGCTAGGGAAGCTACAGACGACTGACCATGACCTTCTTCCACACAAAGTAAGCCAGACAGGTATATGTGAGCCGCTTCTGTCATGGCTGAAGGACTATCTAGATGAAAGGAAATTCTGCACCTAGGTCAATCGAGTCTGGTCATCGTGGCACGACTCGTCATCAGAAGTGTCGCAGGATTCTATCCTAGGGCCACTGAGGCCTCCGATTTTCGCTAGTGACCTACTGTGCCGTCCAAGCTCCTCGACTTTTCTTCACGCCAACGGAGTAAAGATTTCGAGAGCAATAAAGTGTTCAGAAGCCTAAGATAGGTTGCGAGTAGATCCAAAGCGAAGGAAGACTGTGTAGCACCCAGTGGTATGACTATCAAACTGAAAAAGTGCATAGTACAACTGCGTACCTGTGCGAAAAAGCTTGTCTTGCACAACGTTGGAGCGTGACATAGGTCTAATTTAAACGGAAAAAATGGACATCAGAGATCTAGGAGGGATGGCTTACCGAGTGCGCGCCCACTTCTCACGGCAAGTTCGCGTTGCCTTGAATTCCTTGTCGGCAGATACAGCTACTGTACCGACGGTGGACAGCTTTGACCGGAGGGCGGAAAATCATGTAGCCACACAAGGACTCCGTCCAAACGGCCCATCCACTTAAAATCTCACGCACTATAAATGCGTGGACATCCAAAATCATCGTCTTACTTCTTCACATTTCCTCTTGTCTTACTGACCCGACTACTCCAAATATTATGTCCCTTACTCTATTATTTTTGATATTGTATGCATATATGTATAGCAACTCCAAATTTGATTAGCTCTCTGTTTTTACGTACTCTTTATTTCCTTTTCTGCCTTCTAGTCTTAATATCTGTCATTATTATCTCTTTTCTTTTGTCGAAGAGGCCGGAGGACTAACTGGTGAAAGGAGCAACTCCATTAATTGTAGCAACACAGTCTTAACACGCCAAATGCTACAAACAACATGTAATTAATTTTAACACCACTACTTTTGGATTCAATCAAAGCTATGGCAATCAAGTGGCGGGATCAACTAGGTAGAAGTTGACCGAAGACCAGGAACGTTACCCTTGCTATTAGGGAGCGAGCCCAAAGAAATGAAATCGGTTTACACTAGCTCATAAAAAATAGTGGTGGATTTCCGTTGGCTCGTTAAAAATGATATTAGAAATTCACTTTCTAGAAGATAGAACTATGAAATCCAAGTAATTTCCATTCCACAAAAATAAAGTACTTCCGTGACTTTAAGGAGGGAATATATAATAAAGTAGAATCCTGAGGGAAATATTTATGGACCACGCGAACTTTGAAAAAGGAGTGAATTTTACGCGCTCTGGCTTAGTATTGGCTTTTGTTGTGTTATGCGCTCCAGAAGTCTACAGCTTATCTTTAAATCAGTTTATTCTGATCAAAATTAGTTTACTGTTCAGAGTCTATTAAATTATAGGAAGTTGTGTTCTTATAACTTAATAGTTATATATATTTATCTTTGTGCACTCATTGGCTTTTTATCACTGATCTATAAAGGTTATATATATTTGAAGTCATAATAAATTTTTCCCCGGTTCGTTTAAAATGACATGCCTATCAAAAAACCACTGCGGAAGGTTTATATGCCAGTTCCCAGTGGATGAAGGAATGCAGTGTGTTAACTGCAAGAGATGGTTTCACAGTATGTGCACAAACCTTACTCCTGCAGCACACAAACGCTGCTGCAAACCTCTAGCAAACAGGCTGTGCAATGACTGCCGCAATACAACTTAATTCCGTATTACAGAAGCCATTGCCACTCTCAGTGGGGCTTTAAAGCTCATGGACTGCAAGCATCCTCCACCACAGGAGAACACCGACTATTTCGTTTGTAAAACTTCTACCCAACACAATAAGTAGAATAAAATGGACATAAACCGACAACATGAAAAAGATATAACTCACCACAATGTTATGTACTCGTCGCCAAATTATTATGTACTGATGCTGAGTGAATTAATTGAGTTTTCCCCGTCGCCAAATTGTTATGTACCGGTCGAGAATTTAATAGTCCTGGCACAAGAAAGACGGATGTCAGAAGACCACAAGGTTTGCGATGATACTTCTATTTTCCAAAACACCAGGAGAATGAATGTATGTCACACAATAGTGTGAGAGCAAAATATATATGAATGTCCAAACAAGTGTGTGAACAAATCAATAGACGGTCTTAACATGATTAGCCAATTATAATGGAGTATCGATCCATATATACATGGCGAAATATAACAGACTGTCAAACAAACACACATATTATATGGATATATATATATATCACCAAGAACAGACTGTCAACAAACACACGTATTTTATATACTATAAGGGGAATTGTTAAAGGAGACAGGTTCATCAAAGTAAAATGGTCACGGACTAAGGGAGCAACAGAAAGAGAGACCACCATACACACATATATATATGGATACATATCACACAACATCACATGGACAGATGTACGCTCGTCGGGCATCATATATGCCCCACCAACTACAACCCAACTTTCCTAAGATAATGTGGGGAACTTATATCCATAATGTTGCTGAGCAGTTAATATCCACAACTCCTGTCGGAACAACTAAAATTCAGAAACCC